CATTACATTTGATCATTTCTCAACCTCAGTCTCGCCAGAGAGCTCTTCAAGAGACTTACCCTTGGGCTCTGGGACAAGGAAGGTGAAGAGCATACCGATGAAGTTAATAACACCAAGCATGATCAATGAGTTCTTCACTCCGATACCTGGTGGGTAACCAGCGTCTGTCTTGGTCTTGTCTTGTGGCTGAGCCGCATACAGGAACCCGAAGGCTCCCACGATGGCTCCAGCCTTACCTGTCGCGGCTGATATTCCGTGGCATGTGGACCTTAGCCTGGCCGGGAAGATCTCCGCGGGGACAATGAACGTGGTTGCGTTGGGTCCAAAGTTGGCGAAGAAGAAAGTGAGTGAGTACATGATCACGAATCCGATACGGTTGTCTGGTTTGATCCAGTGGTTGTAAGGGAAGGCAATGGCGAACATAAAGACGGTCATCATGAAGAATCCCATGAGTTGGATGGCGAACCTTCCCATGATGTCAATAAATGCGACCGTGAACCAGTAACCTGGGACAGTACTGCAGAGTGCGATGAGGGTTTGTGCCCTAGCGATCATGAAAACCTCGTGGATTCCGTTCATGGTTGCTGCCTTTGGGATCCATCCAATAGCCGAAAAGATATCCTTTTGGAACAAGTTTTGGCTGTAAAAGGCAATGTCAAGCAAGAACCAAGTAGAGGTACACCCGAGGAGGGGAAGACCGTGGCGTCTAGCGAATTCCTTGGAGAACAATCCATAGTTAAGTCTTGGGTCTTGAACGATGTCCTCTGCCCTCTCCTCCATCTCAAGTTCCACTTGTAAGACCTTGGACATGTCTTGTGTGGCTTGTTTGATGTTCTTGGCCACCAAAGCGGTGTAACGAGCGGTTTCTGGCATNTTCATACGCCAGTAGTAAGTCAAGGCTGCGGGTAGNGCACCAAACATGACGATGATTCTCCAAATGTAATCAGCNTGTGGNGGNGTTGAGAGAGCCCTGTNGACTGAATAGATCGGAGCTGGGAACTTCTTGTCGAAAATGGAAGATACGGCAAGTGCCACGAAACCTCCGGCCAAGATACCGACACCTTGCATGGCGAACACAGCCGCGATAAAAGCACCACGAGTCTTCTTGTTTGCATATTCAGACATGATGGTGGCAGAAAGAGGGTAGTCACCACCAATACCGAATCCCAACCAAAACCTAAACATAAGCGTTAATATGTTAGATATTAAGTCAAAGTTATACAATTTTTATAAGATTATTGGATAAAACTTGTACCTGAAGAAGCAAAGAGTGGTCATGACTCCCTTGGCTTTGTTGCCGAAGGAGAGACCAGAAGCGACGGAGCACACGATCATCATGATCAAAGTGATACCGTAAACTTTCTTCCTTCCGAGCTTGTCACCGAGCCATCCAAAGAAAAGCTGACCGGCAAGGGTTCCACAGAGAGCCACACCGTTGACTGCAGCCGCAACATGAGGAGGAAGGGAGCCAGGCTTTTCTGAGGCCGGATTGAAGTAGTAGAGGCGGCCAAGGAGCTTGGTCACGAGAGAGACACAGAAAAGATCATAGGCATCCGTAAAGAAACCCATACCGGCGATGACAATTGCCGTAAAATGGTAAAGTTGCGTCTTCGCAACATCGAGTGCCTTTAGCACTCCTAGTTGTTGTTCGGCCATCTCAGCCTCTCTTGTGTCTCCTGCTTTAACACACTAAAGTTAATATTCTGCGCTTATTGAAAAAATGCTACTAATATATATATTTTTGTTTTTTGGTCACAAAAATGCTACTAATATCATAAATTATTACCACTACATTTAACATGCATATGAAAACCTTTTCCTTAATATTAATCAAAACTATTCATAAACTGTTAATATCATTAGATGGCAGCAGATTGTAATTTGTTC